TCAACAACCATAACAATAAAGATGAAGTAAGTGCTACCCATGAATAGATTGTGCGTTTGCGATCTCAGGTGTACACAGAATATTTATAACTTTCCTTAAGTGTCTGCATAGGAATCGCAGAATACTGTGCCAATGACCTTTTCAATGTATCCGGAGCCTGAAAAATATGTCGTCGCCATGGCACCCCAGTCGTCTATGCCGCTTCAGAGGGCAAGAGTGATTTTAGCCCCAACAGAGTTAAGGAGAACATCCACCAACCGAGTGTTGTCAACAGGCAAATCGGATCTGGTTGACTTTCGAAATTGGGTTGGCTGGTACAGACGATGCTTAGCCTCCAATAGACCGTCAACAGGTTTTAGGTCGCGGTTTTCGTGCCTCAGAGACGAACAGATTTGAGTGTCTAATGTGTCTGTCGGATTGAGCAACAGGATCAAGCCCATCGGTTCACTTTCGCCTGACCCAAATGCTTTCATCCCGACTGAGGCAATTTATGGTGGGCCTGGGCATGTTCCGAACTCATGAAATCCCATTTCGATTGTATTACTCTATCAATTTATTCGATCAAAGTTACAAGGCATCACAATGTAAATATGAATACCAAGATGCTATGACGTCTATTTGGGTTGCCGTCTCCTTTCGATGTGGCCTAACCTCTTTTCTGCAAATCGTTTGGTTGTCAGCGCGACTTAGTTGGACGTACCTTATGCGAACTCCTCAGTTTCGGACTGTCAACTTGATATATTTTTTGGACAAAGCGAATGCAACTGATTCTTCCTGACACCAGAACCAAGTTGCAACATTTGCATAAAATCAAAATTCACATGTCAGTCTTGGAGGCGGAATCGCTTGTTACCAAGACTACAGTTGTTCGGTGATGGGAAATTTGGCGTTCTGCGTCACTATCCGACGAAGATGGTGCTGACCTCTGCCAAAGAGAGCGAGGGCGAAACGACAGATGTCTCCTTTGAAGACATCTGCTGACGATTTTCAGTTGCAGTCTCGTTCTTCAAGCGACCTCTTCATGATGCTGGCGTCAAAAGCCAGGCTTCATCGGGGCTCGGTTGATCCGCTGCTGAGCGGCGTTCGCCAGCCGATGTTGGCTCGACTGGGTTGCTCTAATCGGCCCAGACACGTCTTCGTGTGGATGGTACTTTGACAGGATTGGGTCACTTGATCCGTCTGAGCGAATAGAGTCCCACCACCGACGACTTGCGAATGAAGCAGATCGTGGCGAACAACTTCGCCTCGATTCATTTGAACCGGAAGCGACCTCGACGGCGGACCCACAAGTTTCATACTTCATCACAAAATGTCGCTGAATACACGCGAGAATCACAAACTTGCCAGCCTGGCTATGAACTAAAAAACTGGGCATGTCTTGGCCAGACCATGA